AATTCAATTGAAGACGGTTGAACGACAAAGAGTAATGACAGCAGTTAGAAAAGGCAGTTCCATGACAAGTTGGCCATTACGAGAAAAGTGGACAGTTATAGAACGATCCAACAGTTTTTAGACGGTTGATCACAAAGAGATCATCCAAGGAGTATAAAAGGAAGAAAAGACATAGAGCAAAAGGATCGAAATAAAAAACTCTCAAATAGAGAACATGTAACTTTAAATTTCTTAGTTTAAATTTAAACACTTCATTTACAGTAACTCGTGTACTTGCGCCCCTTGGAGGCATTCTGTTTTTACTTTCCAATTGTAAAGTCATCGCCAATAAAAAAGCCCCCTTTTGGAACATTGTCTCAAGAAGTTTGTCTCTTACACAATCGTCTGATTCCTTTTTAATTGTTAGCGACGAATCCGCGCGAAACACAATAAAGCTTGGTGACGCTTCAATTTTCACTCTAATTGCTGTAAACAAACCATCAGAAGAAGATGAATGCAATGTCCCTACCATTGCGAGTATCTGACAATATTCATTTCTATTGAAATGTGTAAACATTAGTAAACAGTTAACTAAAAATTGCTACTTCACATGTCATCATCAGGCACTTCAATGCATGTTTTTTGACAAAACAAATTCTAACAGTGCATCAACAGCTACATCTATATCCATCAATGTAGGAAGTCAAAAAGCGCAAAAGACAACCCAAAACCAAGTTAGTCATTTTGAGCTGAATGTGTGCTGGTTCTCTTGTTGTGGCCTGCTGCTCCACATTTCTTTCACCTGCTTGTATTACTTGTATGTGGCTTACCATGTGATCTTGCTGTTCACCAGCCCCTTTATACTAGCTTTCTTTGATCCTCGAGCCTTGGTCTTGGTTTGGATGGGTGGTGAGGAACTTGGCCTGGATTACTCCACAACTCAGGGCTTCTCATGGGAGAGATGGTATATGAATATGTAGTAATGTAAGCTGCTTTTTGTATAGTCCATCGGTTGGGTGTCCATTTTCCAAGAACGCAAAGCTTTCTATCACATGAGAACATGGTATGCCACTTAGCTACCAACTCCTACATGGGCAAGTTCTTGCTCTCAAGTCCACTGAAGATTATTTTATGTGCATTTATATAAGGATAAAGACGATAAATAGAAAAAATGTATCCAAACAGATAGTTGTTAATAATAGCATTATTTATGCGATGGAATCTTACTCGATAAGGATGGCTTTATTCATTTGAAATTATCTATTGAAAACCAGGAATACAAAATAGATACAAGGAAATGTGAATAGGGATATTACCTATTCATTTTTAACCAGATTCCATAAGACTTCACACCATCTACCATCAAAATAAATTTGAGGTCAGCAATATATATTTTTTCTCCATTCCATTCAATTATCATTTTCCAGATGCCCCAGCGAAATTTAATGACAATATGGCCATCAATGTACACAAGCCTCCGACTTCACCTGAGTTTGAAACATAGCATGATATATACAGGCATGTACAGTCATTTTGACTCCACAATTCTTTTTCTGTTGAGTGCACTATTCACCATATATATTTCTCCGACTTCATTTAAATAAGGCTGAACAAATTTCTTCACAAACGTGCTATCAGGGATTGTAGTAATAGTTGAAAGAAGAGGCCACTTTCCAATCAAATTCTTACTCTCCAAAACTCCTAAAACTTGCATTCTGGGCTTAATCTTCTTTTCAACACTGCAAGTCAATGATGTTGGACAGTTAACAATACATGAAAGATCATACTTCCCGGTTACAAGTAAAAGCTCTACTACCTTACTTATTTTCCTCTGTGATACAGAAAATACCTGAGGAGCCTTTTGAAACATTTTCAAAATATCATCTTCTGAAAACCCCAAATTCCTAAAATGCCTTAACTTGAGTTCCCAATTCTCATTGCTCATTGAACCAACAACCCGAACAGCATGAATAAACAATTTGGAACTTCTACAAGTCCCCATCTCATCAACCATTTTAACAAAAATTTTCATATTTTTTGGACTGCACATGAGAAACCTTGGAAAATTATACATTTTCTTTATGATTTGCTCCATGCCTGCACCACAACTCTTTAAAAATTCAATATTAGGTACCATAATCTTCTCCAAATCTGTTTTCAGGTACCACCCAGAAATCTTTAAAACCTTAGTTACCTCTGCACTAGATCCCAATAATCTTTTCAAAACTGATAACGACGATCTGACCCTACTGTATGCACTTCGATGCAAATTTGCTGGATCGCTTGAAATAATCTCAGCAATGTCTTCGGCAGAAAAGCCCAAATCTTGGAAAATCTTGAATTTGGGCTTGATGGTATTCTCAAGACTTGAAGCAAGCAAACTAGGCATAGTTTTCACAACTCTCTCCAGCTGACTCTTTGAAAAACCACTCTCCTTGAGGAATGATAATATTGAATCAGATTTTTGCGGATTCTTTATACGGTTTAAAACAGAGGCAACTTGTGAAGCTGTTTCAGGAGAAAATTGGTGTTTGTGTAGCAGGAAATCATACACTGTAAGATCAGTTTTCACTTTCTTTTCGGTT